GCCCACCGGGCAGCCTGCCCCTGATGCTCTGCAAGGGGACGGGGTTCACCCCTACCCAGGTGGGCACCCCTCTCCCAGCTGCCCTCCAGCCGCCCTCCAGCCACCACTCCCTGCTGGCAGCTGTGACATACCTGGGGTTAGAAGGCCTCCTGCTCTGTCACCCTGGGCAGGGGAGCCAGGGAAGCTGAGGAGCAGAGAGGCAAAGGGACTTGTCCAGGGTTGCACAGCCAGTCAGACTCAAGTCTTGCTAATGTCAGGGGAGCCCGTGCATGCCGACCCTCTCCTTTCGTACCCGAGCCCAGCTGAGGCTCGGGTCCCCACCTGCCGGCCTCTGCTCTGCTCTCTCCAGCCCAGAGCCCCGCGGCCCCTGTGGACCCCCTGCAGCAGGCCTACGCGGGGATGCAGCACTACACAGGTGAGCCCGCCAGGCCTGGCCCAGGTGGGAGGGATGAAGGGCGGAAAGAGGCCCAGGAGCTGGGTCTGGGGCAGCTCCTTCTCTGACACCGCTCAGCCCTGCCAACTCCTTTGCCTGGGCCAGAGGCGGGGAGACAGGGCTGGCGGGGAGGCTGGGGCCAGGGCATCTCAGGAGCCCCAGGAGCTCTCTGTCTCCCCACCCCAGCAGCCTACCCAGCAGCCTACAGCCTGGTTGCGCCTGCGTTCCCGCAGCCTCCTGCCCTGGTCGCCCAGCAGCCCCCGCCTCCGCCCCAGCAGCAGCAGCAGCAGCAGCAACAGCAGCAGCAGCAGCAGCAGCAGCAACAGCAGCAACAGCAGCAGCGGGAAGGTGCGGCCTGGGCGGCCCAGCTGACAGCCTTGGGGATAGGGGTGCCCTTGTCGAGGGCTTGGACTCCCTCGTGCCTAGTCCAAGCCCAGATCTGGCCCGTGGGTGGGGAGAGGTGGCTGGCACCCTGGCCCCGGTCGCCGGCCAGAACTGAGGGTCCTCCCAGGACCTGCTCTCCCCGGCCTTTGCTCCCGAGTCTGTCCCCCAGGCACCAAGCTCTTCCTGTCTGTTGCCACCCAGGCCCTGACGGCTGCAACATCTTCATCTACCACTTGCCCCAGGAGTTCACGGACTCAGAAATCCTCCAGATGTTCATCCCCTTTGGCCATGTCATCTCAGCCAAAGTCTTTGTTGACCGGGCCACCAATCAGAGCAAGTGTTTTGGTAAGAATATGATGACCTGAAAGATAAATTATGGCACATTTTTGCCAAATTCCAAAAGAGGACAAGGCCTGATCGACTTGAAGCACTTATAGTTGCCGTGGGCCCAGTATTTGGAATCCAGATTGTCCGAGAGTCAAACCCCCAACATTTTTTGCACACCGGACACCCCTCCCAGCTGCTGCCCAGGCCTGTCTCTTCTCCAGAAAACCAGGGTCCCCTTTTCCCTTACGACCCGGTAAACCCGCGCTCCATGAGGTCTGGAGGCTCTGCAAGGGGATGTCTGGTTTCTGAAAGGAAGGCTTAGGGAGTCGGGTTAGTTGCCTTCAGGCCTCTGCCTGCAAGACTCAGGGGAGAAAGCCAAGTTCTTGTCCTCCTGCTTCGGAAGTCCTTTAGGGTCTGGAAGCGTTGTTTTCGGGCAGCAGGGGAGGCCAAGGAAGGGGCTCCCCCTCAGAGAACGCTGGGAAGGAGGTCCCAGTGTGAGTGGCTGGGCTGCTGCACTCTCTCAATGGTCCATCGAGGAGCCTGCCTGCCTGCTGTGTGCCGGGGACTTTTCTAGGCGTTTAAGGGGCCTGCAGGCAGCAGGGTGGTGCACAGGAGGGAGGGGTGGGCTGGGCCGGCCTTATGCCCCTCTCACCGCAGGCTTTGTGAGTTTCGACAATCCGGCCAGCGCCCAGGCTGCCATCCAGGCCATGAACGGTTTCCAGATTGGCATGAAGCGCCTCAAAGTCCAGCTAAAGCGGCCTAAGGATGCCAACCGGCCCTACTGAGGGCCCCAGGTGGGTCCTGTTCCTGTCCTGTGACTTCTCCACAGCTGGGGACTGTGGTCTGTGTTCTGGGCACACACTGCAGCCAGGCCCTCCCTCAGACTGCTCCCCCCCACCCCCCGCTCCCCCTCGGTCTCAGGGATGCCCTGCCTCTGCAGGGATGCCCTGCCTCTGGGTGTTTTTCAATCATCCAAGTCTCACCCCCCAACACACACACACACACACACACACACAGTGACCCGAGAGAGCGCAAAGCCTATATCTGTGTGCACTCCCCAGGTCTTCCCTAATATCTGGTCTCGTTTGTCTGCTGTGTCCATGTGTCTGCGTGTGTCTCTGGTTTTCCTTTGGGTTGGAGTGGAATTGTGGGAGCAGGGTTTGAGGAGGGTCGTAGACTCACTGGCTGCTGGAATATCGATTCTGAGAAGCGGGACATGGGGTCCCGGTGCCCTGGACTCCAGGTGATTTTCTATGTGGCCGTGGACCCATGGGACAGTGGAGAGTGCACAGAACAGACTGGGGGGCGTCCCAGCCTCAGGCCTCCCGGGAGCAGCTGTGGTTCAGGTGGCGGAGGCTGCAATGCTGGACTCCTGTGAATTTCCCTGAAGGGGCCCCTCCACCCCAGAGCCCTCCACCCCCAACCTCATGGCCTAGAGCTGTGAGCTTATGTTACTTTTATGTTGTTTAACCTCCTTTGGACCAAACCCCCGAAAAAATACAACCCAAGGACAATACCCACATTTTCTGTTTCTCCCCCTTTCCCCCCAATCCTGGCTGCTTAACTCCCCCCACCCTGGGGGCCCCCAGCCCAGGGCCCGTGTCCATTGTCGGCCGAAGCCCCCATCCCCGGACCCCTGCTCCGGGCCCCTGTAAGTTGCATGGAACGAGCGTGTTGTCTTTGGAGCCGATTGTTTGTTATTTGGGGAGGGGGCCGCGGAGGGAAGCGCCCCCAGCCCAGGGTCAGGGCCGGGGCAGCTCGCGGGACGTGCTTGGTTGACAGTGGTTGGTGACTGTGGTCTGTGTTCTGTGCATTTCTCCCTGGCTTCCTTCGTTCCTTCCCGAAAGGAATGAGAGCACTGGGGGCCCTGGGCTCCCCCGCCTGCTCTGCCCTCCCCTTTGCCCTCTGCTCTCTCCTCAGGTGTCTGTCCCAACACGGCACCTGCTCCTCCTCCTCCGAGTTCTCTGCCTGCCTGTCTGCTGTCTGTCTCCTTGCCTCTCCCTCTGGTCCCTGTCTGTATCTTCCGATCTTCCTTTTCTCACGGGCTGTTTGAATATTTCCTTCCTAATATCTTTGGTTTCTTGTGTCATCTACCTCCCTCCCTCCCACCTCCTCCATCCCTGCCCCTTGTCCAAAGGCTGGGGGGCCGGATGGTTCAGTTTGGACTGAGGCCTTTCTGCTGACATGCCCTCCTCAGCCACTCCAGCCGTCTCCTCCCTCCTCGCCCTTCCCCTCCTTCCCCCCAGCCGTGACCTGGGTTGGCCTTCTTCCCCGTGGCTTCACCGTGTTTCCTTCCTTCACAGGTCTGGAGGCTCCACAGGAAGGGGCTCACGCCTGCCCGGCCCCAGCCCCCTCCGCACATCTCTGGGCCTCGATTGGGCTCTGGGGGCACAGGACACACCCACTCCTGCCAGCCGCCTCTCCACAAGGGCCTGTTTCCTCCCAGGTGCCCTTTTGGCCTTTGTGAGGGAGCAAGGGACAGGCCTGAAGGCTTGGGGTACCTGCCTTCTGCGGGGCTCCTGCGCCCAGCTTTCGCACCCGCGTCCCCACCAGGGGCCTGTTCTACCTGAGCAGCGGGAGGGCCGCGGGGCTCCCACATGCTCCCCACTCGCCCGCCCCAGCCTCTTCCCCACATCAGGGGTTTCTCAGAAGCTGGTTCTTGCTCCGTGCCACCCTGAGCTAGAGGTAGGACACCCCTAAACCCTGGGCTCCCAGCCCTAAAACTCACTGCCTCCCTAAGGGCCCCCTCTAAGGAGGGTGTGGGGGAGCCCTGAGGGCTGCCTCTCCGCCAGTCAGCCACAGAGACCCTCCTCCTTTCACGAGGAAAAGGCCTCCCCGAACCCCTAAAAATGTTTACAGTCTCTGCTGGTCCCTCCATGTAAATACCACCACCAGCCGTGTGTGCGTTACCCAGCCGGCCCGGCCCGGACGCTGCCATCTCTCTTCGGGGAGTTTAGACAATGTTCCCCTTGGATTTCTTCTCTCTTGATTTCTCCCTTTGCTTTGGGGGTCATTGGGTATTAGGGAGGAGGGGTGTGGGGAGGGATAAAGGGGTTTATTACCTGGTCATTTTCTTTAGGAAGAGGTTTTAGGGGAAAGAAGTGGGGTGGGGGTGGGAGTGGTACGGGGAGACCAGGGCGTCAGTTTCAGACATTTCTCTATGCTTAACTTATTTATTTATTGCATTTTACTTTTAAAGAGTTCGTCTTTTCTGTCTAAATAAAGAAAAAATATTAAAAGCATCAAATAAGAGTCCTGGAAGGCTGAGGGCTGGGGCTGGTGCACGCTGGGAGGAGGGAAGCGAGGTTTGGGGGAGGGGGGCTCTCAGAAAGGGCCGCCCACGCCTTTGCCTGGTGCCCAGGCCTCCAGCCCATGACCCCATGCCCTCACCCTTCTCTGTGGGGCTTAACTCTGCAGTGCTCTGCAGGGCGGGCGCCGAGGGGAGAAAGCAGGTCAGCAGGCCCCTCCTGTACCCTGCCCGGTCCCTCCAAAGGCAAGGACTTCCGACCTGCCCTGCACTGGCCAGCGGGGACCCGGGAGCCAGCTGTGCCACCACCATTACAAAGCATTTACTCAGAATGTGTATTTCCTCACTTAACCTCCCATCATCCCTGTGAGGCAGGAAGTAATGTTACACACAGGAAAATGGAGGCTCTGGAGGGTAATCAGCTGCCCAGAGCCATGGAGCTGCGGGCGTTGAAACCAGGTGTCAGACCCCCAAGCCCATGATGCTCCTCTCACAGGTCAGCCACCTGGGCTTTGACCCGAGACAAAGGCTCCCGGGAGCAGGCGGAGGACTGTCTGAGCCAGAAGTCTCTCGGCTCCTGGACTCCCTGTGACTGCCCCGGGGCTGGGCCAGGGGCCGTTTGCTTCTAGGCATCTTCTTACCACCCACCCTCCTCCTGTTCCTGCTTATAAACGTGCTCACCTTCCCGCCACCACCTGGCCACCACCTGGCCTCGGGCCACAGCTGTTCTGTGAGAGGAGTAACTCCCACCACCCACTGCACCTCAGCCCATACTTTGGCCTCTTAGAAACTGCCCCGAGCTAAGACGTGTTCAAGAGCAGCACCATGTGACGTGCTACAGATTCAGGAGGGCAGGTCTCCTGGCTCAGAGATCAGGGATGGGGCCTGACTCAGAAGGAAGAGAACCCAGTCAGATTCTTACCCAGGCACCCGGCACCGAAATCTTCATTAAATAGAGGGTGTGTGTGTGTGTGTTTGTTCAGAGACGGGAAGAGGTGTGTGTGAGGACAGCAGGAGCTGCTACTGACATTATGAATTTCCCCCTCAGCTGTCTCTGTGACTTGGCAACAGTTTCTGGGTCAGGACAGAAAGACAGAAGGGCTTTTAGCCCAAAGGGCTTCTCCCAGAGAGATTTACTGGCTGGGGTTCGGGCCGCGGGGCTGGCATATAACAAGGCGGGGAAGTGTCCTCTCTCCTGGCCCCCTCCGGGTCTCAGGGCCCACCCGACACACACACTGAGGAATGCCTGCATCGACTGCTGCCCCTGCTCCGAGCTGTGCCCCTCCTGGCAAGGCTGCAGCCAGGCTTTCTCCAGAGAAGCAGTGGATAATCAAGGATGAATGATGGGGATGAAGGAAGCACAGGAGTCTTCTGGAGAAACAAACGACTTTTGGGCAGGGATTCTCTAGGTCCTCTGACAGCAAAACGTAGGCGGCCATCTGAGACAGAAGAGAGGCTCCTGACTTGTTCCTTGCACCAGCGGATTTTTCAGGCACGCTGGTTTCAAACAGAGCAGGGAGGTGTACAGCAGGGATGGTTCTGTTAGCTCCAGTAATAAAATGGGACAGAGGACAAATAGGGTGACAACAGCATCACCTCACTTCAGACCAAGCAAAATGAAACTTAGCACCAGTTTTTTCTCAAATAATCGAGGTACTGCTCTAACGTCAATGGCAACATAGAGGAGAGGGAAGGAAAAGAACCTCTCGAGGCAGAAGAGTGGAGTTGACAGGTTAATAGCAGGGATCAGGAGACGCCTTCCAGGAATAGAAACGAAAAGACATCTAGAAAAATGTCCTCACTCAGGGGGACTACAGGTGATAGGGTGGTGGGGGAGTCTGGATAATTCCTTTGCGAATTCCCATTTCCCCACCTATAGTTTTAGAGTTTTGGCTCAGTGGTGGAGCATCAACCCATGAACCCATGAACCAAGAGGTCACAGTTCAATTCCCAGTTAGGGCACATGCCCAGGTTGCGAGTTCGATCCCCAATGGGAAGTGTGCAGGAGATGGCCGGTTGATGTTTCTCTCTCATAGATGTTTCTACCTCTCTCCCTTTTCCTTCCCCCTCTCTCTAAAAAAAATCAATTAGAAAAACATACCTAACAACAAATAAATACCTATCAACAAGTGAATCTAAAAATTAAGTCAGAATAAACTGGTGAATATAATAGAAGTGGGGGCATAGAAAGGGAGTGAACTGACAATTCTTGGGGGGAAGGGGTGTGGGGGGTGCGGGAAGAGATTGAACAAAAATCTTACACCTATGGATAAGGACAGTGGCAGGGGGTAAGGGCATGGGGTGGGGTGGGAACCAGGTGGAGGGGAGCTATGGGGGAAAAAAAGAGGAACATCTGTAATAATCTGAACAATAAAGATTTATTAATTAAAAAACAAAAACAAAAAACATACCTATATATATAAAAGCCTAAGCAAACGAACGACCGGTCACTGTGATGTGCACTGACCACCAGGGGGTAGATGCTCAACGCAGGAGCTGCCCCTTGGTGGTCAGTGCACTCCCACAGCGGGAGCGCCACTCAGCTGACCGACAGGCATCAGACACCGGGCTCATGGCTGGCAAACGCAGCTGCAGCAGCGCTACAGCGTGGCGCCTGGCCTGGGCTCCTCCCCGTGGCGCCTGGCCTGGGCTCCTCCCCAGCCGCCTGCCACTTTGCATACTACTACATCCTCCGAGGGGTGCCAGATTGCGAAGAGTGCACAAATCCGTGCACCGGGCCTCTAGGATATACATAAAATAGGAAAATGACAGTCTATACATGTTGCTGGGGGTTGGGGACTAAGATGTGTCCCAAGGATCCTGCCAGGATCTATCTGCATAAGGTCGAGGGGGGAGCCCTGGGAGCCAACGTGGGTTTTGTGCAGGCTGGCACAATCAACTGAAGTCTGAGGGAGAAGGAATCTTCAAAGGAGCCACTGAACACAAGGTTAGACCAGAGGCCTCCCAGCTTCTCCCCCGCCTCCCCCATCACCTGCCTTCAAAAGATCACTCGTTACTTGGGATAACTGGTTAAATGTTCCTTCCCGTTTCCAGACTGACCATTCTAACTCAAATCTCAAAGGTCCCTCTACACTGCTTCCCACACAACCCAAAGGATTTGTAACCTAGGAAACCAAAGAATAGTTTCATCAATAAATCAATTTATTTAAAAGAATATGTTACAATTAATTACACTAAGTGACATTACCAAACAATTTTAGAGTGGTTAGCTCTAGAACCAGGAATGAAAGAAACACTGCTAGCCATTATGTGTCTGTGTATTTTCTCTTCACATTTCTTAAATCACAAATAAAAAATACAAGATACTGCAGTGAAAATACAATTAGAGTTTCTCTCAAATAAATTAAAAGTGTGCATGGCCTGGGGAAAACTGAAGCCCAGCTCACTGGCTTAAGAAGGGAGCATGACATAAAACTGGTGTCGACTTTAGCAGCTGGCCGCGTGCCTCGCCCCGTATCACTCCCCTCGTCCACTCCGATCTCCCCGAGCCCTAAGCTTCCCACACACCTGAGATTATTGCTGAGGGAGCTGATGTTGTCCTGGTGAGTGAGGCCCGGCATGATGTGCTTGGGTTTAGGAGAGGGAGACAGGAGGTGGGACTGGACGATGAGGTGCTGAGCACACCCGTCGCATCTCCTCTCTCAGAATTCAACCACAACAGCCTCCCTCCAAAAGGAGGCTACCGTGACACATGGATCTGGTGCATGCTGGGAGTCCAACAGCACAGATGGGCCCTCCTGCGGCATCAGTCCACCAGCGCACACTGGAGAGAAGGGAGGGCACAGCAGTCCCTCCAGGTCTGGGGGCTTCAGACCAACCAGGATGCAGTCCCTTTTAAGAAAACTGCCTCCTTGGAGCCAGATCCATGAGTTGGCAAATTCTGAGGTGAGAGAGAGGTCCACCTCCTGCCAATGCCCTATACTGTTGCTCCAAGCACTGGGCTAGGAGCTCCAAGAGGGGACAACCCAAAGCTACTGGCCTGGGTAACTAAAGGATGAAACCAGATGGGCCAGGCATGGGGATGCTGAACGCTTCTCTCATTCCTCCCCGAGAGCTCCCTCCAGGCCTATGAGTTGCTCTGAGCACTCACCTGTGCTGAGCTCAGGCCTAGGGCAAGGGGAGGGCAGAAGATAAAGAGCAAAGAGCCCCAAGCTTGGCTCCAGGAAACCTTTCTGTGGGGACAGGCTTCTCGGGGCCTGCACTTTCTCCCGATCAGGTTTTACCAAAGATAGAAACTGAGTGTGGAGGGGCGGACAGCAGGAGACCAGGAACATCCTGCTGGCTCTGCTGGGGCAAGGCAGGGGGAAGGGGAGCCCTTCCATTTCCCAGAGACAAACTGCAAAGGAAGCCTCCCTGGGCAGAACCCAGGACCAAGAAGGGGAGCAGGGATTAGAGAAAGGAACGCAGAGAAGGGGAAAGGAGTGTCACACTAACACTACTTCATGCAAACAAGAGCTGGATCCCCTGGAGCTCCACTGCCAGCCCCTGGCCCCACTGCAGGCGGCCTGCTGGGGGTGAAGAGAAGGCGCTGTCCCCTGTCCCCGGGGCTCCCCCACCACAAGGCAGCTGGGTGGTCAGTGCTACAGCCTCAAGCAGCGGCTGTTCCTACAGAGTCTGCCAACAGACCGCCAACCTGGGGGGTCTTCACCCACTCTCCAAAGCACCAAGTGAATATGCCGGAAAGGGGACAGAGCAGCATCTGTCCACCCTAAGGGGCTGCCACGGGGCCTCCTGGATTTGTTCATTCCTAGCCCACGATGAGGGGACAGGGGCAAACGGCTGCGATTTTTTGTAGTTTGAACAAAGCTGGTGTCAAAAGCCTCTTTAGCATCTAGGAGTGGAAAATCAACGGATCTTCTTTCCAGGGTCCTTTGGCTCATTATTAAATTCATTGCAGCCAAAAGAAGTTAATCCCGTGACAAAGCCTTCAAATCAGGGATCACCCTCTGCAACTTTCAACACTCAGCATTCACATGTTTTGCACTCTGATTCCACCTGGGTGTGGAGCAGGGGAGAGAAGATAGGCCATCCCGTATGATCCTACACTCCCCTGGGGCCAACAGCTGCCAGGATAACAGAGTGAAAGAGGATTCACAATGATCTGCAAAAACAAGTTATAAAAAAAGAAACTTCAAAGCACCCCAACACTGCTCAGGGGAGTTGACTACAACCAACCATGGTTGCCTCCCAGTTAGACAAAGCAAAAGATGCCACCCTAGGGCGGTTTTCGTTTAGAAGGTGGAGAAGGGAAAGGAAAAGGTTCAAAGATGTGTTTCCATTGCACCCGAGCCTGACTTAGAGCTCCCAGTGCCATTATCTGAAGACAGAGCCCGAGGGCCAACCATGTTGCCCTGCTCCCGTCAGCCCTGGCCCCCGTCCTGGGTTGTAGCTCTTAGATCTCAAAAGGTCCACCTGCAAGGTCAGATGAGATCTTTAAGGGACAGAAAGGTTTTCCTTCAGTCTCCTTTCAATTAAACCACATTCCCACTGCTCCTCCCTGGGTCCTGGGCTGGCTTGGATGGATGCAGTTTGGTTCACAGACCACTGACCCATTCCGTTTCCCCAAGGCCTGGGGACACTGTAGGTCCCTCCCACAGCTGTTTCAGGAAGTCACAGAGAACGTAATAGCTATGGGTAGTTACTGGTCACAAATCGAGTAGGGAAAAGCTTATGTACATTGGGCATCTCTGCCTTCCTTTCCCCTACCTCCGTCCAATCTTTGTGCCGAAAGGTATCAACGTTAACTCTGGCCCCTCGTCCTACCTCTGCTTCAGAAAAGCGGGAAATTACCACCAGGAAGTGTTTCAGGTTCCCGTGGCATTAACTTCCTGAGCTCCCCCTCCCATTTGAGACCAGTTGAGGGAGAGCACACAGGGACCCTGGGGAAGCAGGAAGATGTGGAATGTGGCTAGAAAGCCATGAGTGGGAGAGTCGGAGATGGGCCAGGAAAGATGTCTTGGAATAAGAGACCACACCAAGTCTGCAGACGCCCCTGCAGACCGCAGCCTGCTGCCCTTTAGGAACACCCCTCACGTCTCCCCAACAGCTTCTTGGAAGAAAAAGAAACCATGCTCCTTGCTCCTCAGACTCTACAGTCACACACGAGCCAGAATCCTCACTCCATACAAAAAAGGGGGGGAACCCAAGCAGGTTGTAAACGTTTCGAGTCCTTCATGAGGAGAGGTATTTTCCCTGTAAATTTTTTTTTCCTTTTTAAAGTTTGTTTCAAAAGAAAGAGAGCAAGAGAGAAGTCATGAATTCTAGTGAAAGGTGTGTAAAAACACAAGCTAAAAAAGGTACTGCCATCAATATGAAATTTAAAAAGAAATATATATATGTATATACGTGCAGCTAATCTGTGTATATATAATTTTTACATACATACATATATATGTATGAACAGTGCAAATGGATGGAGTTCATAGTTCCAGTCTTAAAAATATAGTACAAGGAGAGTCTGTTGGTGCGAGGCCCAGTGAAAGGACAAAGACACCTTCGGCGAGTTGGTTGGGCTCATTCCTGTTCCTATCTTAACTCAGGTGACTCCTGGTGCTGACCCATCTGTTGTTCTCTACCGGCTCAATTCCAGAGACATGAAATTCAAAAGGATTATTATTATTTAGCTTAGGGCTTTGAATATAATGACTTTTTTCCTTTTCCTCTTCCTTTGTGTTAATGGTTACTCTGTCTGACATGGGAGACGAAGGGGATAAGAGGATGGAGGTGAAGAGAAGGGAGGGGGTGAGGGAAGGCTAGGTGGCCACATCCCTCTGCTGTGACCGCGCCATCTGGAAAATGTTCTGAAAGAGAAAAAAGGAGAGTTATTGGGAAGCCTTCGATGTCGACATCCCCTCCCATCTGGAGACAACCGTTCAAACGGAATCAGAAAATGCACGACTGGATGACGCGATTGGATGGGCCTCTTCCCACTATAACTTCCCATCTAGAATCACAGCCTTTTAGAGCTGGAAGGGACCTTGGCTATTAATTATCTGGCTCAGCCTTCCCGTTTTACACATGAGAGAAAATGAGAAAACTGGACTCTAGGGAGACTGATTTGCCCAAAATCATAGAGAAAAAAAGCCAGGAGAGAATCCAGACCTGGTGCCCAAAGACCAGTGTGCTTTCTACTATACCAAGAATATACATTTTCGTGTTCCTGACGCTACTGCTGAACCTCAGAAACATTTTCTTTGAGACTAAGTAGCTGATTATTCAGACTCTTCCGAATTCTGCTCCTGCACTGGCACCCAGACAGCAGTAAAGCAGGGCAAAGACCTGCCCACACATGCGCATTCGTGGTCAGCTGGGACAGGGCGGCTAAAACCGAGGACAGCTGCCCGTCTGGGTCAGGAGCAGCATGGAGAGTACTTTGATAAAAACAGGCAGAGGAGGGTCCATGAAGTCATGAGAGACAGGATAGCCTGCAGCCAATGGCCAGCCTCTAGACCAGGGGTGGGGAACCTTTTTTCTGCCAAGGGCCATTTGGATATTTATAACATCATTCACAGGCCATACAAAATTATCAACTTAAAAATTAGCCTGCTATATGTGGTCAAACATTTAATTAACTCACCCCTTAATGACTTGGCAGGGCCAGACCAAATCATTTTTCGGGCCATATACAGCCCATGGGCCGAACGTTCCCCACCCCTGCTCTAGACAAAGGAAGAAGCAGGGCTTTTCACACCGTCTGTTCAGCATCCAAAAGCTAACCCTCTCTGGAAGAGTATCCTGGCTCACATGGGGTCATCAGCCTAACCAATAGTCCCAGAAAGATGGAGATGGAGGTAAGGGGCCCAGGTTATGTGGCCCTAGGCTTATACATTTTAAACAAACAAAGATGAAATAATCAATTCAAGTTTGTTTAGAATTACCTCTTTTCTCCACTTGAGCTCACAGAATACCCTCTCGAAGCATTCGTGCATGTAATTGAACTGAAAAAAGAACATAGCAACACTCACTGACATCGCAGGACCAGGTACCACAGGGCCATCCATGCCTTTGAACTTCTGCCCTGAGCCACCCCACCTTCCAAACTTTCTTAGCCAAGAAAAACCCTGACAAGCCCCACAAACCCATAAACCCAGGCCTGGCTCATCTACGGTTCTCTGGCTCCTCCTAGTGGTAACTGTGAGTCAAGCGGGATGTGAAATTGCCAATCCCAGTGGGGCCTCAAGGGAAGACAGGAAGAACCCGGGCTCTAGAATTCAAACAGGTTCAGATCTCACGCCCACTGCTCTCTCTGCACGTAAGCATTTAGTTCAAGAACTTGAAGCCCAATCTCCTCTCCCCAAGCATGCTTCCCCGTCTACCACTCACATATGGTGTGAAGATTTTAACCCATCGAGGCTTCTTTTCTCCTCGTGCATATTCAAAACAGAAGGCCATTCCTTCTTCATCTGTATCCCATCGCTGCATCTCATCCCATTCAAATGCTATTACCTGGTTCTAAACAACCGAGAACAAGAGTGTGAGTCTGAGAATGCGGGGAAGCTTAATAAGGGTCTGAACCGGGCAGCAGAAGAGAGATGAGTGGAGATGTCTGCATCACTTCAGGGAAAAGATGACAAGAATAAAGGTCAGTGTAACATGTGAAGGTGAGGACCAGTGCGAATCCAGTGCGTACTTATCTACCCCAGTCAAACAGTTTTGACATCATTCCACGACCAGAACTAAAACACAGCAAGAGAGTGAGTGTCAAAGTATCGCCAGGGTTCCTACCCCCTGCCCCATGCTGAACTCTCACCTCCAGCTGTCCCTCCTCAGTGCAAGCATGAAGTTTAAAGTGCGTAATGCTGATGGCTGTGATCACGTGCCCCTTCCTCCTGGAGTCACAGGCACAGTGGGGAAAGATGATTTCATTGTAGCCTTCACAAGTTCTTAGCATGTTGAGGTACTAGGGAAAAAAAGGAAGGGAAAGCATGTTACTATGGAACTCAACCACCGTGAGGAGCTGCTGAGATGGCACAAGAACACAGAAACTTCTCGCCCAACAACCCAAAGACCTTGCCTCTGGTCTCACGCCCATCCCTAATTGGGACAGGACTCCAAGATGATCCTTTATCCCACTTCCAATCTCCAACCTTTCTCTACTTAGAAAAAGATATGCAAACGAAGCCAGAAGAGACACTAACCAAAACTGCTAGGACTAGAAGGGAACTCACAATGCCACTCCGACCCTCTATTTTCACGGTACCTAAGGAATGGGAATCGAATCTATCCTTATAATTAAGGAAAGGGGCTAATGTTTCTCCCCAACTCTTCTCCGATCAAAAGTTACAATGAACTCAGTGATGACGACTAAGCTGCCTGAGACTTTCATGCCACAGGTAACAGTAAGTGGTAAGCCAGGTTTAATTTCTTGGTTACTGATCTTTTCTCTTCTAGTCCCCAAATCGGCCCCACCATCCCCTCGGTCTCCTTAAAAAGCATCTGGACCCAAATCAAGTGACAGGCATAATGCTATAAGCCTGATCTAGAGGTCTCTCAACTACTGTCTCTAACTCAACTCTTTGTCCTTTCTCCTCTACAATTAAGGCTGGCCTCTCACTCAACTCACTATTTTGAGGTAAGAGAGGAGAGAGTAAAAGAAGACAAGTGGGAAGGAGAAGAGAAGAGAAATAGGGGAAAGATTAAAAAAAAACAAAAACTCATGGACTCTGACCGGGTCTCCTCTCAGGGGCTGCCCGAGAAACAAGCAAATAGCCTTGCATATCACACAGGAAGAACAGGGAACACTGGTGATGTGTGTGGAGTGTTGGAGAGAAGACGAAGGCATAACACCCTAATAAATTTCAGTTAGACGGGCGGGGAGATTAGAAAAAACCAGAGATGCCCTGTGCCTTACAGAGAGAAGAGACATAGGCACAAAAAGGACCCTAGGCAACCTATGACTGGTACCAATGACTGGCACCTAAAAGAGTTGCTACTGACACCAGGGACGGGAGGACTAGAGCACCCAGGGAAAAGGCACACCACAGGCTCCCTTCCCCACTTTCTATTTAGTTCTCCTTGGTAAAATAACAGCAACTGGGAAGGGGGAAAATTATTTTATTTATTGTTTTTAGTCCTCACCTGAGGATAAAAATTTTAGGACTGAACCCACAACTTAGGTGTGTGCCCTGACCAGGAATCGAACCCGAGACCTGTCGGTTTATGGCAGTGGTCGGCAAACCACGGCTCTCGAGCCACATGCGGCTCTTTGGCCCCTTGAATGTGGCTCTTCCACAAAATACTACATGTGGGCACGCACGTACAGTGCGATTGAAACTTCGTGGCCCATGCGCAGAAGTCGGTTTTTGGCCTGGGTGAGTCTATTTTGAAGAAGTGGGGGTATGTTCGCTGAGGTCGACCCCTCAGATTGAGGACGTTTTTAGCAAAGGCCAGCTTAGGAGTACCCTAATTAAGTTAATAACAATGTACCTACCTATATAGTTTAAGTTTAAAAAATTTGGCTCTCAAAAGAAATTTCAAACGTTGTACTGTTGATATTTGGCTCTGTTGACTAATGAGTTTGCCAACCACTGGTTTATGGTGATGCTCCAACTGAGCCACACCGACCAGAGTACAAGGGGAAAAATTACAAAAGGGTAGCAAGAACACAGGGTTAGGGTCAATTCAGAAGTGCCACAATACTCCATTTGCATAATTTTCGTCTCCCACTTCCCCTTCCACCACCCTATTCCATCCCCCTTTATAACATCCTTCCTGTATGTGTAATAAATATGGATACTGCTTAGCCTTGCTATTGGCACGATGAGCAGAAAGAAATCCAGGCCATTATACTTTGGAAATATGACAGGCAGTATCATAGAAGAGAACTTTCCTGGAGTTATAAGAAGCAAAGACTGGGACAGGAAGCAGTACAGGGGGTGGTCAAAAGCCTGGGCTTGAATCCTGGCCCCATCACTTCCTAACTGTTGGGCAACTACTGAACTCAAGCAAATTAGTAAACTCCAAGGAGCCTTGGTTTCATCTTCTTACTAATAGCCTATATCAGTTATTTGCAAGCATTACAACATTTAGTGCATAATTAGGTATTCAATAAATGATAGCTTAAAAAATAATTTTAAAGGCTCTGTTATCTTTAGCCAGAGGATTCAACTATTTTCTCTCTCAAGAACGCCCTGTGGCCCTAGCCGGTTTGGCTCAGTGGATAGAGCGTCGGCCTGTGGACAAGATGGTCCCAGGTTCGATTCCGGTCAAGGGCATGTACCTCGGTTGCAGGGTCCTTCCCAGCCCGGGTCCTGGTCTGGGCTCATTCAGAAAGCAACCAATTGATGTGTTTCTCTCACATTGATGTTTCTCTCTGTCTTTCCCTCTTTCTTCCACTCTCTGTAAAAATCAATGGGAAGCCCTAGCTGGTTTGGCTCAGGCATTAATCAGCCTGTGGACTGAAGGGTCCCAGGTTCAATTCCAGTCAATGGCACATGCCCAGTTTGCAGGCTTGATCCCCAGTAGGGGGCATGCAGGAGGAAGCCAATCAATGATTCTCTCTCATCATTGATGTTTCTCTCCCCTTTCTCCCTTCCTCTCTGAAATCAATAAAGATATATTTTTTAAAAAAATCAATGGAAAAATGTCCTCCAATGAGGACTAACAGCAACAACAAAAGAATGCCCTGTGACCCCAAGCAGAGGAACCTGGGGCAGGGGCTCCCTCTTGCACTTTGTACAGCTCGCTTCCAGGCCTCTTTGCTGTGTTGATAAGCAACTTGACCCTGGGCTTAATTGGGAGGGAGTTCTGTCTTCATACCACCACCCAACCCAAAGGCAGGGATCCGTCTGTAGTTTTTGACAACTAAGCATTTCTCTTCTGTACAGAATCCAATAAACACTTCCTATGTCTTGCACCTTTAAAAAAAAAAAGCCCTGAGAAGTGATATATATGGAAATTACTTTTAAAAACTCCAGGGGGGAAAAGCACATAAGTGAGACAGACGAAACATGAATGGCAGGAAGTTGAAGGCTCTTAAGTTGGGAGACTAAATGTACTATTCTTTCAACTTCTTTATATATTTGAAAATTTCTACAATAAAATGTTAGAAGAAAAAAGAAAACTTCCCTGCAACCAGGCCTGCAGCTCTCACTTCAGCCTTCCTCCTAATACAGTCATTAGAAGCTTTCTGCATGCTCAATAAGCAGCAAATTCTGCTCAAAGATACTTAAGAACTCTGCAAATGCCAGGAGGTGTCACAGTCTTGAGACTAGTTCTGTTCATGAACTTCCACAAAAATGGCTTTACATGTAACACATTTGCTGAGAGTTCTCTTCTTTGAGAGGCAACACTCCTATTTAAAAAATATTTCTGCCATATTTGGATTACTATACAGATTTTTTTAAAGAGGGAGAAACCTGCAAAGGGAGAAATTAGGAAAAGACAAGAGATGTGGAGCTCTGCGTATCTTGAGCTCTCGCTTTGTGACTTTGCAAAGGTTACTCCAGCCAGGCTTCCCCTCTGCCGTCTGGGAATAAAGGACACAGCCGCCACCCGCTTTTCTCTGATGTAGGAAAAAACACGCGCTTTGGAGCCAGACAGACATGGATTCGAATCCTAGCTCTCCTTCTGACGAGCTTTATGATCTTGGGTAAGAATCTTCCTTCCTCAGACTCCACCCCTCCTCTGCTTGGTTGTTATGAGGAGGAAACAAGAATGTACACATAGTGCCCAGAACAGTACCAGACGCCTAAGATATGCCCTCTCTATCCCCTTTGAATAAAAAAAAGCGGACTTGTCCCTCCATATTCAGAAATGTAGTCCTTGAAAACAAAGGACCTTCAGGGGAATTCCTAATGTAGTTATAAAATAACCTGAGTGCAGACTAAGGGCACCCGTGGCCTTAATGAGATGACAGAGTTTAGTAGAGTTTCACTGGGGAAACAAGGTTTTCAAGATTCTCGGGTCAGGCAGCGTTTCTCAACTGTAGGTGGGCAATCTCTACATTCCTGGACTTGCACAAAACATAAAGGGAAGAAAGATTTAAAGTTTATATACACCCAAAATCTTCGAAAGAAAAGTAAATTTTTGTTTTCAAACTGATTTATTTTAAACACAAAATTTTCCTGTCCATTCTCTTCTCAGATTAAATTTTGAGTAAATATGTATCCTAAATAAGCTTCCTTGATTCACATACCACTCAGATGGTGGCCCACATTAGATCAGAGAAAAAGAAAGGTATGGCATGGGATATTTGTGAATGCTGAATATTTAGCAAGGTAGGTCGATACAGGAATAGGACACATTAAAGCAGGGACCCAGTACTCAACAGAGCAGAACACTTTAGGTGAGTGGGTTAAGGTCCATTCCGGAGAACTCTCTGTCTCCCAAACCACCTGCCAAGGGTCAAACCAGGGCTAAGACTGAAATAAGTGCTTGAGAGGAACCTTGGGAGCCGACTCTCTCAAACCCCCGAAGCAGCTTGTTCCAGAATCACCAGGGTGCTTCTGTAAAAATCTTAACAGAATGCCTCGGTCCTATCCACAGAGATTCTGGCTTAGTAAACGGAGGCGGGTCAGATACCTGCACTGTGAGCAGGCTTCACAAGTGAGTCCCATGAAACAGAGCTGGGGACCACACGCTGAGAAACACTGACTTTCACATTTACTGCCATGTGTGAAATCACTAAAAATTATGTTGAGAAACACTAATAAAAATTTCTTATTTGTCAGTTCAACAATGGCAAAATCAGGCTATTCCAACATAAGAAAATCTTAAGTTCCATATGTTTGCTGTTTGTGTAAGAGTAAAAAAAAAAAGAAAATATAAAATCTCTCTTGCACATCACATTCTCAACCATCCAAATCTAACTCTGTAAGTAGAAAACAAAACAAAAAACATTTTTTTATCACACTGGATCTTACAAACTATGGCAAAGATAAGAGCTGTCCTCTGTATTTGGAAAACAAGGAAACTTACACAAGACTTATTTATCTATCAAGAACTCTAGAGTATTTCTTAAGATTCTACTTGATAGCTAGCAATCTGAACATCCCATTTTATAGAAAAGAAACTAGAACTGAGAAGTCTGTTGAATTGTTGAGGTCCTCACAGTGATCTGACCTACTCTAAGGCCTATCAAGCATCCTAAGTTGCTATAGATAATGTATCAAGACTTATGGGCTCTGAAGGGTCCATCTGAATTGAAGTTTCAATGTACTGACCATGACCACTAAGTTAATGTCTTTGAACATTACTACTTGAACACATGAAATTATCCTATATAATAATAGTGTAGTGTGCAAATTGTCCCCTCGAACGGAGGTCATCCGGGAGTTCAACCAGGGGGTGGGGCCGGCCAGGGGAAGGGAGGGAGGCCCTGGTCGGCAGCCGCTAGGGACCCTACCAGTGCACGAATTTCATGCACTGGGCCTCTAATACTTAAATAAAATTCAAACTTTGGTGGGATTTTCTTTAAAATCTGACTATGGTATCATGGGGCTAGTATACACTTGTATGTTGGTACTAGGTTTTCAAGACAATAGAATTCCAAAAATGTTTAAACATATTTTATACTCAATTCCAATGACCCATGGAAAACACATCAGTGGTCCAACTGTATTCCAGTTCTTAATGGGTGATTACAAGATACAAACTTGAATTTGAAAATGATTTCATAATAGATTAATATGCTTGTTAAATTCAGATTTTCTATATTTTGCCACAGAACAATACAAGACTATTTATCTAGCACCTCATACTGTGCCTGGCACACATTCGGTGCTTAACAAGTACTTCTGGTAAAATGTGTAAATGGATGATAGTGTGTTTGGAGTAGTACTACATGTGCAAAAAACCAATATGTATTCTATACTGGTATTACCAAAGGCCCTTATGAAGTTACTCTAAATCCATTGGCTTTGGAAAAAGCAAAGAACTACTGCAGAGGTTGATGGTCCTTTAGTATTTGGCCCTTTTCATCAAAAAGATGCAGTGGTATTGGTAAGAATCATGCATTAATATGTAAAAGACAATGCCATTATTTTAAAGAACAGGAAGCTGAGTTTTAAAATCTTGTCTCCCACTTATTAAAATTCCCTTAAACATTAAAATTCAACAAATTAATATAGACTTGATTTGATTTAAAATACTTTTTGTTGCCTATTTAGTCTATTGGTATGTAGAACATTCGAGGATAGTTTCTTGATCTTTGGCAATTTACTTTTCATTGTATAAGTGAGAAAATAACTATCCCAGCTAGACATAAGATTATGGGCTAAGCCTCACGGCTAATTTGTATATTCTTATTCCAACCCAATTAATTTAGGCAGATGAAGATTCCTTCATAAAAAGTGCACAGAAGGTACAGAGAAATTCTAGTGATTTATAAGAATCATTACCATTGCAATTACTGCCTTGTGTGAAATCCTGAAAAATTATAATTAGAAAAATTTCAACTATATATGAATTTGCCAAGAAAAAAATTTTAAAATTCTATGAGTGGAAGTTTTGTAAGTGTTCATTACAAATTTTATTTTTGACAATTTCCATCCTTGTATATATGGGAGATACAAATTAAAAACTAATTTTAAAACATTTAAGGAGTATTCTAGCAGCCCTCTGAACAGAACTTTCTGTGATAATAGAAATGTCCTATATCTGAGCTAATACAGTAGCTACTAGCCAGATGTGCTATTCCACATTTGAAATGTGGCTAACACATCTGAGGAATTGAATTTTAAATTTTATTTAATTTAAATAAAGTTAAATTTAAATGCCACATGAAGATGGTAGCCATCGAATTGACCAGTACAGCTATAGCATATGATACTAACCAAAAGCACTACTGCGCATAAATGTTTAAGCAACTGCAGAGATTGAAGTTATAAAAACAAATGATTTTGCTACCGCTAAATCACAACGAAAATAATTTCTAATGTAAAAAACCTAATAGCAATTCTTACGGAATCTTATCTTTATCATATTAAATGTTTTGCACATCTTTGTTTTAGATTTTTTTCTATCAAAAAGAATTCCATTTGGTTAATATTTATAATAAAGTTACGTATTTATATATAACAAAATAAGCTCTTTGTGGGCTAAATGGAGGAACACCATGGACTTTATGTCAACGCCTATATCTCCCTCCTTTTTAAAAATTAATTAAGCCACTGACCAGGTTGCAACATCTTTCAAAAAAGATTGGAACAACAGGTTTAAGAGATAAGAGGAGTTATTTTCTAAAGAGATTATGGGGACATAAACCTACCATGACCATTTTCCTTTGTTCATACAGCTTCTGTAATTGGTAGGACTTTTCCTCTGCTTTGATGTAGCCTTTTTTCACATCATCGACAGCCTGTCACCAAAACAAAGGCAGGAAAGAAAGAAATGTAAAAATCACTATCAAGTACATTCTTTTTTTAAAAAATATATTTTATTGATTTTTTACAGAGAGGAAGGGAGAGAGATAGAGAGTTAGAAACATCCATGAGAGAGAAACATCGATCAGCTGCCTCCTGCACATCTCCTACTGGGGATGTGCCCGCAACCCAGGTACATGCCCTTGACCGGAATCGAACCTGGGACCTTTGAGTCCGCAGGCCGACGCTCTATCCACTGAGCCAAACCGGCTTCGGCTATCAAGTACATTCTTAATAGAAATAGAGACAGATTTATTTTCAGAATAACTTTTATGCATATGGACCATCGCATCACTGGTTCACTCTGCCACCTGTATGTATTTACTGGAACAAGCAGCATGTATGGAGTGTCTGGTATGTATTCAAGGATTGTTCTAGGCACATGAGGAATCTGGTTTCTCATGTTAAGAGATTTAAACTCTGGTTAATTTATATATGTGCAACAATTAGAGAACATTAAAAGATAGCATATAATACTGTATTAAAGGTAATAATGAAATAACAAAAATGTGTGGTATAGATAGTAAGATACATGCAGTCAGAACATGAGAGCTTCTTGCTAATTGTAGTTATCAAGGAAGTCCTTGTTGGGCCCACGTTGAATAGAAGAATCTACTAGCTATAGTCAGGAAACAGGAATGGGTTTGAGCTTAAATACATTCAGGAGACAGATTTGCCTAATTTGAATAAAGGGTATATGGTTAAGGGACAATGAAAGATAATGCGCTGGAGGGATAGGTTAACAGATTAGGAAGGACCCTAAAAAGCAGGCACAGGAATTTAGACTTAAGGACAATAGGGAGCTAAAATAAGCAATTTAAAAAATTTTTTTAAAGGAAGATTGATTTGTATATGAGTGTCAAATGAATTAAGCTAAGGAGAGAATAAAATGAGAGACTGACGATGTTGTCATACTTTAAGCACAAAATGAAACAAGACCTTAAACCAGGGGAGCAGCAACTGGAAGAGAAAGTGATAAACTTGAGACCATGAACCAAAAAAATCCCCACCAAGACCCGAAACAAGCATGAAGATACTTATTCTAAACAACTCCTGGTTTGGCTAAATGAAATATGCATCCCCTTCCAAACCTCATTCCACCCCAATAAAAATGTTTAAATCTAATAGGAGGAAAAACTGATCATTGGGAGAAAAAAAGAATAAATAGAATCATTTGTCCAGGGCATTCAGAATCTAACCTCAGTGAGTTACTGCAAGGACAACTCTATGCTGGCACCCACTTGAACTCTTATCAGAAGACTGCCAACTTCCTTAAGGTAGAAATCATTCCCATACTCTTTTAAGGGGAAAAAACTTGTATAACAGAGTGAGTTCATTACTGAAGTCAAAAGAATAGTTCAATTTCTAGGTATGTCACTTGAGTAAGTCATTAAAACCCTCCCAAGTCTTTAACACAGGAATGATACTTATCTCATAGGTAGACAACAAAATGAGATAACAAATGTTGAGTTTCATAAAGTGTAGATAAATAGTTACTATTATCATTGTTATTAGCGTCATTTAGTTGTTAAGTTCTAAGAGCCACACATGGATATTAACGTCCAGCCCGGGACTGCCTAACGGAAAGATTATGCCCATTCCTCCCCAATCCTAGCCATTCAAATGAGGGCTCCCTTAGGCACAGAGGATCTAGTCACAGAGATCAGGATGCTCAGTAAGAATGGCCACACAATGTCCTGAAGAACCTGACCACTTGTGTGTGTTTTATTTAACCACCAAAAGACATGACTGCTCCAGGCCAAATTACACCAATTATTACTGGAAAGCTGGGAGAGAAGTAAAGAGGGGAAACAAATGCTGGTCTACCGATTTCGTTTCCCATGTAACAAAGTGTTATTTAGCTAAGAGAAAAGGCTTTTCTGATGAACAAATGAAAATACTGTATTTGTTATTATTCATATCCCCAATACCTAGGACTGTATCTGACTTGGAATAGCACTTAAATATTTGAACATTACCCTAGGAGAGAAGTGGGTCAGAGTGAACATCTACTCCAACTCTAAGTGAACTATTTTCTTTTCTTTAAAAAAATTTTTTTTATTGTTGATATTACAGAAATCTCCCATTTTCTCCCCCTTTACCCCCCCTCCCAGTCAACTATTTTCATACAGGGCAGTAAAAATGTTCTCTCCTCTCCTCTTTCACTTCTAATCAAGATTATACTGCTTGAACACATAGAGGGGATAAACAGGTGATGGGGGGGAAAAAAGGAGATTATATTGCTTGACTACCCATGTGACTCACCAATTCTTCTTCCACAATAACCAAACACCAACTCCTCTCAATTCATGCAAACATTTATTTTGTAAAAACTGCTGACAGTTCTCGTCTGCTACTATCTCCTTTCCTGTTCTTTGTCCTTGCAAGTTTACGCCTTTAAAATGCCATGACTGTTATTTTAGCAAGCTTTCAGGAAGGAGTAGTTTAAATGGGTGTACAACCTGCTAGATTTAGCCAGAATGTAAATACATTCTACCATGAATTTCAATATTACTAATTTCTTTAAGGAAAAGGCTCATTATCATCACTATTATCTCAACTCTAAGATGCTCATTTTTTCATAGTTTATCATCTCTAAAATTGGGATGTATCTTATAATCAATGATGTGTCAGTTTAATTGGTAGCTCTTTTCTCTTTCTTAGCAGCACATGAAATAATAGTGCATCTTACAATCGATGGCATCTTGGAATTGATGAAATACCCACCATCAAAATATGATATAAAAAATAACTAAAACTAAGAGGAAAAAGTTAATATTACTTTCTAAATGGCACAAATGTTTGCCTAGTTAAGCAAAAAATCATTTGAATCCTTGTGCCCTGTTGCAAATGTAAAATAGTGTATGTAGCTGCTATGGAAAACAGTATGGCAGTTCCTTAAAAATTATAAATAGAATTATCATAAAATCCAGTAATCTCAATCTGGTCATATTAAAAGCAGGATTCTGAAAAGATTATTTAGCCCTAACCAGTTTGGCTCAGTGGATAGAGCATCAGCCTGGGGACTCAAGGGTCCCAGGTTTGATTTGGTTGAGGGCACATCCCCAGTGGGGAGTGTGCAGGAGGCAGCTGAACGATGTTTCTCTCTCATCGATGTTTCTGACTCTCTATCCCTCTCCCTTCCTCTCTGTAAAAAATCAATAAAACATATTTTAAAAGAAAGAAAAGATTATTTACACACCCATGTTCATAATCCTCCTATATAATAAAAGGCTAATATGCAAATAGACCAAACGGTGGAACAACCGAACAACCGGTAACTATGATGTATGCTGACCACCAGGGGGCGTGTACGGAACATTGTGGGTGTCGGCCACGGTGGGATGGTGGCAGGGAGCGGGGGCGCCAGACCAAGGCGAGGTGCTGGTTGCTGTCATCAGGGCGAGCCTAGGGTGGTTACTGAAAATTCTTTGCTCCCGTGCACCGCGGTCCTGCCGGGTGCTCGCAACCTTTGCTGGCACCCGCACCCGCTGCTGGCGCTGGCCCTGCTCACACCGGCTGCTGGCCCCTGGCGCCGGCCCCTATCGCTTGGCACTGTCAGCGGGTGCGAGTGGCAGCTGCCGGCCCTGATCGCCCCTGAGGGTTTCTCTATCTCCCCCTGCTCCTGAGGGGTGATCGGGGCAGCAGCCAACTCCTTGCACTGGCTGACGGTGCCAGCCCCAATTGCACTGCGATGTCAGCGGGTGTGAGCAGGGCTGGCGCAGTCAGCGCGTGGGAGCGGCAGCGGCAGGAGCAGGGCTGCCGGCAGACAGGAGACTGGGGCCACGGTGGGAAGGGCCAGGCGGGGGTGCAGAGGATGGGCTGAGACCTGCCCCTGTGCCCACCGCGGCCCACAGTTCCTTTTAAGGTGCACGAATTCGTGCAGTGGGCCCCTAGTAGTATTCGTAATAGCCAAGTGATGGGGAAAAGAACCAATGTCCATCCATAGATGACTAGATAAGTAAAATGAGACATATACATACAATGAAACATTTTGCCTTAAAAAGGAAATCCTGTCCACTGTTATAACATCAATGAGACATTATGCTAAGTGAAATAAGCCAGTCATAAAAAGATAAATACTGTATGATTCCACTTACATGATCAGGAAACAGATCTTAGCAAAGCTATGCTAAGATTATGCCCTATGTAGAGCCTACACTTGAACCAGATATTCCGACTCCTAGCTAATGTTCTCATTGCAACAATACAGGGCTCTGCTATAAATTCATTATTTGTAGAGTCGTAATAATATAAACACTGAATACTGATTTAATCAATATTATAATATGCCTATATCAGGAAGATAGGAGAGATGAAAATGTACAGATATTAGTAAGAATGGAGAACAAAATGGAGCTAGAGTCTCATTTTTTAGTGGGAAATGAAGAGATACTGTCTGAATTTGAAAAACCAAGTAGGAGCAACATAACCAAGTTATAAAAGCAACATGGACGTAAATATGAAAGAAAAAAAACAAAACTAAAGGAGGTGAAAGTGATTGCCTTTGTGGGGAGATGAAGATAAGTGGGGGCAACTAATACTTTTCATAATAACCTGTGTAGAACTACATGATGCTTTAAACTCTATGAATATGCTTTAAGCTCTGTGAATGTGCAATTTTGATAGAAATTATTTTAAAAGGTACATAGCCATAATGCTCATTTTCTGTTGTTTAAATAAATATATTTTAAACTCCAGGATATCTTCACTTCTTAAGCTTATTTATATTTTGTGAAATGGGATAGCACATTTTACAAATTTAACTAAGATTCAGGAGGCAAAGCAGGTTACCCAAGGATTCACACTGAATTGGCAAATTACCCACTGCATACAAACAGAAAAAAAAAATCAGGCCTTTCTAGGAAGACCAATCCACCTACCTGATGAAAGAAGTAGGTAACAGCAAGGTCATTGTCATTTAAGAGGATTTCTTCTTCTGTTGTAAAAAGCCACTTTCGAATGGTCAGGCAGGTGCCTGGCACAGCTGATGTGTAATTCTGGACATAGAGTTTATGAGGAAATTCATTAGGTGCCAGCTTACGTACTAAAGAGAAGACAAAACAAAGAAAGCTAGAGTGAAAAGATATATAAGGGATTTCCCTAGTGTAAACTGCAGATAAAATATAAACAGCCAGATAAAGAACGGCAGATTATCATTAGCCTGAACCCTGGCTTAGATCCGTTACGGAGCACTTCCTCAGGACTGACCATTTGTCTAGCCAACCTATCCCTGGGAGCTATGACTATGGCCAGTCAGGCCCAAACTGACTGACTTCTGTCACCTGAATGACACACTATCCAGTTAACATGCCGACTCTGCAGACAGCATCGACTACAAAGTCTATTAAAATACCTGATCCATCATCTAGTAAGTTACAGTGATGTCCAGGGAACATCTTTAAAGCAAGCCTCTCCGCTTACCCAGCTACGGTGCTTTCAGAGTCTCTCCTGTGGTAATTCTCAATAAACTGCTTTCATTGTTAGAGTTGAAAGGCTCTCCCCACCCCACCCCCAACTCTAAGACACTCATCCAGTGAAAAGTGTCTTCTGAATACCGTTACTTCCTCTTTTTAATAATGCACAAGCAGGATAAAACTCTACCACTTTTAATTTCTATATTGATTTTCTTTGAAAAGACAGTTTTCTTCTTTTGATTGATGGCTACTTGGCTTTCTAACACTGCAAAAGACAGATTTAATATTTGCTATTTTATTTATTAACTAAAGTTTAGAAAAGAAGAAGAATATTAGAATCCAAGTGTCCTGGTTCCCTGGCAATCCTTTGTTTTTGTTTTTAAAAAACAAGCAAGAATTTAGTGACCGCAGCAAAAACATACTTAGGACAGGGAAACAAGGCCCACTGCTCCCCTGGCTGCAGTCTCATGGGTCCCTTCGAGGTTAGGGGACACGTGCCTGGGAGGGGAAGGAGAGGGGAAAGTGGAATGGCATGGGCGTGCTCCCTGGAGGGAGAGTGCCCCTAGCAATCCTTTTAACATTTCTATCTCCTAGTTAGACTGTAGGGAGTTGGCAAAATAAAGAATAGGAACATTATTCTACATTGACCTGGACAGTAGGCCAACCCAAGCCTAACAACTCCCCCCTTTTCTGAGATGAGGAAGATCTGATTAATTAATATGTCATTTCTGGCGTGCGTGCGTGCGTGCGTGCGTGCGTGCGTGCGTGTGTGTGTGGTGTGGAAAAGACCCATAAATTGTAGGAAATAATTAGGAAATCTATATTATTCAGGGCAAGCACTCAGACTTCCTCCCCTTTGTGGTTTCAATGGAACCAGTGCGACCAACATCCCTAGCTTTTATAAAATAATATATAAGGCAAGCTTCCTGTCATGATGTAATAAAATCTCCTAGGAAGAGGATATCTATTTACAAAGAAACTTAAAAGATATGCATTAAAGCAATGGCTTTTAAGCAATTTATCTCTTTCTTAACTCCTGAAAACAAAAAACTAATCTTAAAAATCTACAAAAAACACAAAGCACACTAAAACAAATTGTTGCTAAATAGAACCACCCCTTTCTTTAAGGCTGTTATTATTTTTGAACCTCTGATTTAAAAGAACCTTATGAAAGTATCCCACTTCAACCCTCGGTGCAAGTAACTTATATCCTTTGACTTGGACTTAATGGGATTTGCCTGGTCTGCTTGTTGGATCCGTCCTAATAAACAGAATCTCCCCTGGTCTGCAAGCTCATCTCTAGGCAAATAGTTTCAGTCTGACAGCTTCTGGGAGCTTCAGTCTGACAGTATTAGAATAAAATACCCCCAAACAAAACTTCATATTAGCCACAGGCACTTACCAAAGGAATGATTGATCACTTCAAATAAGGCAAAGTAATTCACTGTTGTACTGTCCATGCCAACCTTTGCTGCAATAGCCTAAAGTATAAACAGGATAGATTAGTTTCAAGAAAACTAAATCAGCCAGACTGGCATGGCTCAGTGGTTGAGCATTGACCTATGAGCCAGGAGGTCACAGTTCAATTCCCAGTCAGAGCACATGCCTGGGGTTGTGGGCTTGATCCCCAATGTAGAGAGTGCAGGAGGCAGCCAATCAATGATTCTCTCTCATCATTGATGTTTCTATCTCTCTCCCTCTCCCTTCCTCTCTGAAATTAATAAAAATATATTTAAAGAAAAAAAGAATACTTGAGCAGACATGAAGGAGCTTCCACTGGTCGAAGATGGAACAATTTGAGTATCACAAAAACAATACACGCTATTGATTAAATCATGCTGAGTACCTAAAAACCCACACAATACTAAAAAAATAAAATAACCTCATTGGAATCAACTAAGGCACCAATTCTTTACTCTGAAAATTGACAATAAAAGGAAAGAAATATTTACCCCTCCCTTACCAAAAACTGTACTTCAGGATAACTAAATAGCAATAGCTGATAAGAAAAAGTTCTTTACATAATAAGTCTACTTCAGCAGTTCTCAACCTGTGGGTCGCGACACCTTTGGCGGTCTAACAACCCTTTCACAGGGGTCACCTAAGACCATCCTGCATATCAGATATTTACATTACGATTCATAACAGTAGCAACATGACAGTTATGAAGTAGCAACGAAAATAATTTTATGGTTGGGTCACAACATGAGGAACTGTATTTAAAGGGCCAGAAGGTTGAGAGCCACTGGTCTAGTTAATAAATGTGAAGATATGAGAGAATTAGAAAATCAACACTTTACAATCCTTAATGAAACCACAGGTTAAGGGAACAATCATCAGTGATACACTCATTTGAGAAAAGATCAATGGAGAACTTTACAATGGAGAGATCAGATATTGTATCCCTCCTGGTGAGAAGCAGTATGAAGAATACAGCACTGATTATGAAGTATTCTTATCAAAATAGCTGAACCTGAATCTAATCAAGCCTCCAGAGAAAACTTCCATCTATAAAAAATATAAGGAGAGGGCAAGACATACTACATGACACAAATATATAAAAGAAACAAACAGGTAAACTCAGAAAGTGGGACATTCCACAGGACACAGACCCAATTTCTGCAATTACACGGGACATGGAAAAAAAGTTGGAGAAGGGAGGAGAGACTGCTCTATTTTAAAACAAACATAAAAATCAAATGTGATCTAAAGACCTATTTAGATCCAGATTTTAACCAACCAACTATAAAAAACCATTTTTCGATAATTGGGAAAATTTGATTGTTGATTTGTTATTAGTTAATATCAAGGAAATATTGTTAATTTTTTAGGTTTGATAATGGCTTTGTGGTTATATAGGAAGAATGTCCATATTTTATAGAGATGTATACTAAAATACACACAGGTCCAATAACATGAAATTTGGTTGAAAATATTCAAAAAAGGGGGGGGGGAAGGATATATAGTGCACATGTGGAAGAATCTTGATGACTACTGAGTGATGAACAGATACAGGTTCATTGTCCTATTCTGTTTTCATGTACATTATAAAGTTTTTTTTATAATTAAAAGGGGCGAGGGGACTAATCAGAACCACTACTACCTGGGATACCTTTCTTTCAAGGAGGACAAAGTTATTTCATATTAACAATAATAACATCAACAACAGTAGCTAACATTTAATAAACTTATGTGCTAGATACTCCAATCACTTTATATGAATTAACTTATTTAATCCATCTTCCTTAGCTTTGAAACATGCAATGTCAAGTCTACTTGGTCAAGTTTACTTTACCTGATATACTTGGTCTGTAGTACTGTTCTTTTTAACCCTGACTGTAACTGTTGTTCCATCTGGTAATGCTACTCTCAGCTCTACGTCAGACACACCATTGTAGTTCTGGGGAGAAAGACACAGAAAAAGAATTTATGACCCAGTATGTCCTCATTCTCCTTGTAACATGCAAGCTAAACAACAACTTAACATGTGATAGAGAGAAAATGAGTTCCAATGAAAAGGGGAGAAAAGACACCTTATAAATCAATACATTTACAAGCCATTGAGCTGACTTTAGAGTGCAGCAGCAGTTAACCTTTAAGATGAACAGGGAGAAAAGAAATATGTTGAAGTCATGTTCACATTTTAATACAGAAAACTCGCGTGAAACAGACTAGGTCAAACACAGATGAGGTTTTTTGCTTATTTTCAAACATTCAGAACTCACAAATAAGAAGACAACTGAAAGCTATAGTTTCAACCAATATTCTCTGGTTTTATATGGTTAGGCATGTTAGATTGGCTCAAGAAGTACCATAAATTCCTTTCTGAATCCTGAAATAATCATGACACCTTTGAAAGGAAATGGATGAAACTCAGGAATCTGAGTTAGTCTGATGCCCAATTTTCTTCTAGCAAAGAGTAAACAATACTTATTCTCCTTAATTCCAAAGAAATCATTCACTCTCACTGGTTTTGATGATTAACACATTCCTTAACAGATTTCTGACCTTGTCATCTTTATTAGAGAAACAACTATGTAAGAACAAGTCCATCTTCATTTACCATTAAAAAAAATAAGTACTATTTATTGCCTAAAACCATCCTAAACATTACTTTGTATTACATATTCATTCTTCTATCAGTTAATATTTATTAAGCACCTACAATATGCCTGACACTGTGATAAGTCACTGGGAATATAAAGATGATCAAGATTTAGCTCTTGTTCTGGAGTTCTCATGTATAGCATGGTGACCACAGTTAACAATACTGTATTGTATTCTGAAATTCGCTAAAATCTGTACATCTTAAGTGCTCTCACCAAAAAAGGAAGAAAGGAGCAACGAGGTGATAAATACGTTAATTACTTTGATTATGGTCATCATCACAATGTACACATACATCAAAACATCAAGTTGTATACCTCAACTATATACAATTCCTATTTGTCAATTACGCCTCAATAAAGCTAAAAACCGATTTAACTCTTACCTACAGGTAGCTCACACTAAAAATATAAAGTAACAGTCTGAGCATATATATAAAAATTAGAGAATGAGAGATGCCAACAACATGATAATTTGTACTAACTGCAAGAGTTCTTGGTGGAATGAAAAATCAATGATTTGAGTAACAGGGAAAGCTTCCAAGAGAAGGTGGACCTAGCACTAGCTCTTGGAGGATAAGCAGGACACACAGAAAAAGATTGAAAAATAGGCATTTTCCATAATCGACATCTTTAATTTGTTTCTCCCACAATGAGCCATGAGGTAAACAATCACTGTAGGAGTAGTCACTTACCTCGTCCGATTCGGACAGGAATTCCTGCATGATGTCACTCTCACCAATGACTCGTATTGAGCACACTGCAGAAAACAAAGATAGACTTTGCCATGAGGCTCTAAAATCAAGAATATAAAGTCAAGTACATATCAAGGTTTAAGTGTAAATCATTAGTACCAGGCAATGCTGAGGTAGTATGTCATCCCTAACATATGATACTTTAAGACACAAGAAACATTCATATCAATATGAACTAGGACAGAGAAGTAACAGAATGTACAAAAATGTAGCTTGCTAAAAATATTAAACAGCCAAAGGAAGTCACCCAAAAAAAGGGGAAATAAAAGTTCAGTAAATCTAACTTCGTAGTCTTGTGTGAACTATTAACAAGCTAGACAGCAGAGCAAGGCTAAGGTCAGTTAGAAATAAACCAAACACAAAACTGAAATACAAAAGGAAAGATATCTACTTGGCCTAGGAACAGGCTAGCTAGAGAATCATCAACATTTAAAGCCATTTTGGGGGAAATGAGTAGGTAATTAATTAAGTATTAAGCTGAGCACATCTTGTCACCTCACTAATTTGAGCTTCAAAACAACAACAAAAAGAAAGGAGGAAGGAAAAAGGAACGCAGGCAAGTGGACAGCTAATCGTCTAAATCCAAGGAAGTTAATTTCCTGACACTCTCACGAGGATGGCAAATTACACTGATGATTTTACTTCGTTTTATTTTTAAAAAATTGTACCATTTCTCATTTCCCAAGGGCTGTGTTTAGAGGCCATTCCATGCCAGAAAAAAAGCTAAAAACAAATGAGGAGGTTTCACTACTTCTATGGTGAAAGTAATTTTTCTTCAGGGATAAAGCTCTCTACCAAAGTTAAAAAAAAAATTTCAACTAGGTCAATTAGTTCTTACTCAAGGACACAAGGGCACAGGATTACAAAATACCACGTAAGACCATTATTCTATTAAATTTGTATTTTAAAGAAAAGCCCGTTGCTTAGCCAGCAAAGTATGTTAACTCTATAATGTAGTGAAGCAACAAAATGAACTATTTTGGGGGAAGATCTGTGTCCTTTTCCCCAACTTTCTAGATAAGCAAATGCTTCAGTATCTACATCCACAAACTCCTCATGTACTGCTTAGAAGTCCTAAGATAACAAATAAGTATCAATACTTCTACCTATAACCTGCTTAGGACAAGGGGACTTTAGGTTATCTACAACTCAGCCAACCTATCTCTGGACACATGCAAGAGGAATGTGGAGTTTTCAAGGAGGATATGCCAGTGATACTGCCCACTTAGCTCCCAAATCAATTCAGCATGCTGCTGAGTCACTTTGTATGTGTTTGCTGGCAAATAATATAACCCTATAAATAGAGGTCCTAATCACAACTAATTATGCATTTTTTTTCTGTTATGTGCTCATTAAGTCAATAGAATAGGCTATTAATCGCTGTACTGAACATTCAGTCTTGGCTTCAAAGCTCAGATCATCCAACACCTATAGTCAGAAACTTGACTTACTTTCATTACTGCATTTCATGGAACTTAGCTATGCAGTTTAAGAGCTGCAACATATACCTAGACCCTGTATCTACTCAAGACAGTAGAGTTTAACAGGCCGGCTTACCTTTTTCTAGATATTCTTCCAACCCTCGTCGTCGGGCATCTAATTGCTGTTCTGATAAAGAGAATGGCCACTTCCCTGGAAGCCGGGGAAATGTAAAGTTGGCAAACTCTCTCTTCAGGTTTTGGTGTAGGATGGCAAACTCCCGGTACCGCTTAGAACACAGCTGCCTCCCTGCCATGTAAACATTGTATACCTGGCGAGGAGAAGAACAAAAAACAGCCTATTTAATACAACTTAAATCACAGAACCATCAACAGTCAGGCTCAGATTGATATTGTTGAGGTATGCATCTAACAGAGAATATATGTTCAAGGTCACTGTAAAATTAAGACTTATTTTTAATATGCCAGAAATTATATGTATAAAAGAGGACTACTCCCTTCAAAGGGACCATGGTCTTATTTTTGCTACTAAAATTACATCCAACACACTGTTTTAAATATCTTCAATGGTAATTATCAGCTTTAAGGGTAGATTTTATTTTCAGAAAGTTAAAAGTCATTTGAAGCAAACGTGGTAAATACTGTGAATGAACAAGTACAAACTGTTCTTGTTAATCGTCAAGTATGCCACTGATATTTGTGTGTGGCCCAAACTTCCAAAGAAAAGGGCCCTAGCTGGTTTGGCTCAGTGGATAGAGCATCGGCCAGTGGACTGAAGGGTCCCAGTTTCAATTCCAGTCAAGGGAACATGCCCAGGTTGGGGGCTTGATCCCCAGTGGGGGCATGCAGGAGGCAGCCGATCAATGATTCTCATCATTAATGTTTCTCTCTCTCTCCTTCCCTCTCTGAAATCAATAAAAATATTTTTTTTTAAAAAAAGGCTAACGATGATGTAAGCAATAGTGTTGTTTTTTTTGTTATCAAATTGATTTTTTCAAAAATTTCTTTCCTGAAGAAAAATACCTAGTTTTGATCCTCTGCCTTCCATCATTAAAACAGGGTTAACGAGAAATTAAAGAATAAGTGTACTCTAAGGACCTCCTCGTAATAATAAAGTTATAATCTTCATAAAGAAATGAGTACAAATTTTTGTCTATTGCTAAAAGGCATGCCAAGTTTCTAGAACAAGACATCTGGCACATAGCAGGCACTCAGCAAATATTTCATAAAGAAATGAATGCATGCATGTGCAATTCTTGAATATGTGTCCTTATAAAGGAAAGTGGTGGGATGTGTAATCAAAATTCATCAAATAATCCAAGTTACTTTGTATTCTTAGAACTTATAAAATAATGCAGAGATAGGAATTTTAGTCCCAAATCACATTACAGCTTAGCAAAAGTCATTCAGAATTTTGAATGTATACAAACCAGGTCATCTATTCATGTAATCAAGAGTTAATCACTGAGCCCTGACGGTGTTGATTAGTGTCGCCCTGTGCACCGAAGGGTCACTGGTTCAATTCCCAGTGAAGAGCACATACCTGGGTTACAGGTTATATCCCTGGTCCTAATCAGGGACACATGTGGGAGGCAACCAATTGATATGTCTCTTTCACATGGATGTTTCCCCCCCTCTTTTCCTCTCCCTCCCTCCCACACACTCTCTCTAAAAAATCAATGGAAAAGGTATCCTCTGATGAGGATTAACAAAACAAACAGAAAAAGAATTAATCACTGAGAATGTATAGCCTAAGCCTTTCCTTCAAGTTCAAGAAGAACCTTTTCCATGTTTCTGTGATTTAGGAAGCATGAATTAAATGCAAAAATAAAATAATTTATTCATTCACACCCCCCCCAACTCTCCCCCTATGATACCTCCCCAATTAAAAGCAAAGCCTCTAATCACTATCAAATAGCATGCAGGAATGTGTATGATCCTAATCAATGTGTTTTCTTCCTGTGATTATCACTCAAATTTGTAACTGATTGTAATGAATCCTACATATTACCAAGTATTGTCATCACAGCTCTCTAAAGTACAATGCATTCTGCTCGTGCAGCCCACTGGAATCCTCCTCACTTCACCCTGCACTTTAAGTGCCGCTGAGGAGTGAGTGGCATAAGTTCGGTCTAAGAAGGCTGGGCAGTTTCAGGGTTTCTCAGTGAGTTGCTTTGGGAAAGGGCCATGCCCCACACTTTCCAGGGAACCTCACAGGAGAGCCAATAGAAATACCACCTTTCCCCAATCTCTAGCAGACCCAATCTCTGAGCTTCACAGGCTCCACCTGCCTGAGTACTAGGGGCTACACCCTGCTGAGGTCGGAGAAAATCTGGAACAGACTCAGACCTGTGGCTCCAGGGCAAGGAAAAATACCATCTTCCCATAAGTCTGATCGTCACTCCCCATCATGTGAAATCAGTAACTCCATCCGGATTATTCCAGAGGCTCTTTCCGGGACTAGCCTTTTCAGTGTCTAAGCCTGGCAGATGGCCAGCAGGGAGAGACAAGCAGAGACAGAACCTTGGGACATTTGCTGACCTGCCCCTGGGCCCCCTGCTGGTGCAGCCAAGCCCCGCAGAGGCATTCACATACTGTGGATCCCGTGTAGCTGAGGACAAGTTGCCAGGAGGCCAGGAACCTGCAGACCAAATGGCCGACTTTGGACAGCATCAGAGCAGGATCCAACACACTTCACTTTTTTCTTTATTTTTATTTTATTTTTTTGCTATTTCTCTTCCCTTTTTTTCCTTAATATTTCATATTTCTCTCTTTCCTTTTCTAATTCTGTTTTCTTCCCTTTTTGTTTTTTAGAATTATCCCCTGGTTTTCTTTTCCTAATCTTTTCTTCCTTTTTTTTCTTCTTTCCCTTCATATATTTTCTTATCTTATTCTTTTTTCTTTTGACTTTTATTGTATTTTTTTTCTTTTCTTATTCTTTTTGTTGCTGCTGTTGGTTTATTGTTTTTGTCTTGTTTTTTTGTTTGTTTTTTTTGGCTTGGCCTTGTCTTGTTTTATTCAGCACAACAAACTGCATGATGTGGTCAGAGTTGAGCCTCACAGTAAGTCTTAGGGTTGATCCCACACAAAAATGGGCCAACAGCAATTAAGACCCAATTACAACAGGAGGGCCCACTAAATCCAGACAAGGGACATTCCTAGAGCATCCAGCTCAGGAAATCAAGAAGACTGTGCCACTGGGTCCTGTAGGACACTTATTACATAAGGACACCCCACAAAGACTAGGAGGCACAGCATTTCTATCTAATACATAGAAACAAACCCAAAGAGAGAGCAAAAATTGGGAGACAAAGAAACAACCCCCAAATGAAAGAAAAGGAGGAATCTACATAAAAAGAGCTAAATGAAATGGAGGGCAAGCAATTTATCAGATACAGAGTTCAAAGTAATGGTTATAAGGATGTTCAAAAAAGTAAGAACTATAAGGAAACTTTAGTGAGAACCACAACAGTATGAAAAGGGAAATAGAAACCATGAATAAGAACCAGTCAGAAATGAAAAATACGATATCTGACATCAAGAATACACTAGAAGGAATTAACAGTAGATTGAATGAAGCACAAGATTGAATCAGTGGGTGTTTAAGTCTACCTTGGGATGCAAAGTAGACTTAAACACCCAATGAGAGCAACAAAAAAGAAACAAAAAGCAGGAGGATAGTTTAAGGGAACTTTGGGACACCATGAAACATAATAACATCCACATCATGGGTGTACAAGAAGGAGAAGAAAGTGAGCAAAGAATAGCAAATACCTCAGTTGTAGGCTTGATTCCCTGGTCCTGGTCAGGACACGTGTAGGAGGCAACCATCAATGTGTCTCTCTCACATCGATGTCTCTCTCTCTCTCTCTCTTTCTCTCCCCACCCCCCTTCCATTGTCTCTTTAAAAAAAACCAATGGGAAAAAATATCCTCAGGAGAAGATTAACAAAAAAAAAAAGAATCATAGACCTAACCATAAGAATGAAAACTATGATGCAGCCACTTTGGAAAACCGTCTGGCATTTCCTCGAAAGGTTAAATGTAAGACTTACCATATGACCCAGCAATTCTACTCCTAAATATATATCTAAGAGAAATAAAAACAGATATCCACACAAAAATATGTACACACAAGCTCATAGAAGAATCATTCATAATGGCCAAAAAGTAGACAACCCAAATGTTCATCATCTGACAAACAGATAAATCAAATATGGCATATCCATACAATGGAAGTTTATCTGGCTGATACAAAGCTACAACATAGATAAACCTTGAAAACACATCTGATTTCATCTATATGAAATGTCTAGAACAGGCAATTCTATATAGACAAAAAGTAGATTAGCAGTTACCTAGGGCTGGTGGGAATGGGAGGTATGAAGAATGATGGCTAAATGGTATGGAGTTTCTTTTTTAGGTGATAAAAATGTTCTAAAATTGACTGTGGTTATGGTTGCACAACTCTGTGAACATACTAAGAACTACTGAACTGTACAATTAAAATGGGTGAATTTATGATATGTGAATCATACTTCAATAAAGTTATTACAAAAACAGAGGTAAAACTATAAAACTTTTATTAAAAAAAAAAAAGATTTGTGCCCCTGGGTTAAGCAAACTTCTTAGAATGCAAAAAGCATTATCTATAAATGAAAATACCTTATCAACTGGACAAACTGACAAAATTTAAAATCTATGTTCTTTGAAAGACACTATTAAAAATGAAATAAAAAGGCAAGCCACAGACTGGGTGAAATATTTCACAAAACATCTACCTGCCTGATAAAAGACTTATGTTCAAAATACATAAAGAACTCTTACAACAAAAAATAAGACAACCCAATATTTCAAATTCCTGGTCAGAGCACATGCCCGGGTTGCAGGCTTAATCCCTAGTGGGGGACATGCAGGAGGCAGACAATTAATATTTCTTTCTCTCTCCCTCTGCCTTCTTCTGTCTCTAAAATCAATAAAAACATATTTAAAATAAATCTGGGCAAAGGACCTGAATAGACACTTCTCTAAAGAGGACACAGAGCCAATAGACATATGAAAAAATGCTCAACATCATTAATCATAAGAGAGATGCAAATTAAATTACAATGAGATATCACTGCACACCTGCCAGAATGACTATCATCAATAAATCAAACAACAAGTGCTGAGAAGATATGGAGTAAAGGGAACCCTAGTGCACTATTGGTGGCAATGCAGACTGGTACAGCTACTGTGGGAAACACTATGGAATTTCCTCAAAAAATTAAAAATGGAACTGCCTTTTGACCCAGTGATCCCATTTCTGGAAATATATCCTAAGAATCTCAAAACGCCAATCAGGAAGAATGTATGCACCTCTATGTTCATCACAGTGTTACTTACAACAGCCAAGATCTGGAAACAGTCCAAGTGCCCAACAGTAGATGAGTGGATAAAAAAGCTGTGGAATACTACACAGCTGTAAAAAGGAAGGAACTCACCTTTTGTGACAGATATGGGGATTATAATGCTAAGCAAAATAAGCCAGCCAGAGAAAAACAAATACCATATCTCACTTATATGTGGAATCTAATGAACAAAATAAAATGACGAACAAAATAGTACCAGAGTCATGGATACATGGTACAGTCTGATAGATGCCAGAAGGGAGGTAGGTGAGGCAGACGTGATGAAAGAAGGTGAAGAGAATAGCCAAAAAACATATATGCATATCCATGAACACAGACAACAGTGTGGTTAAGGACAGAGAGAGGGGAGGGTGGGGTCTGGGTGGAGGAGGCAAAGAAGGAAAAATGGGAGATATATGTAATAATGTCAACAATAAAAATTTTAAAAATAAAACAATTAGTAATATCCATCTTTTTCTGAAATCTACAGAGGTTCCCAAAGTCTTTATTAATTCCCAAAAGGGTCTCAACATCCAAACTGCTCTACCTTAGAACCTGACCTTGATTTCTACTTTCTATGATTCAAAGTATAGCACTTGTAAAACCCAAAACTCTAAATTTTGTGTGTATGCTTCTGAGAATACATAGAGCAGACTGGCATAAAATCCATGTGCTATCACCTCCAGCTAAATTGCAGATTAGTCAAACATTTGATCCTTCTGAACTTTTCTAGCTTCCTTGTTCTTCTCATCTCCCCCCTAAAGAGAATGTACCATAAATATCTAGTGGTCCATTCCTATACAGGGGACAAATCTCAGTGTCAGAGATGGCAACTTTAGTTAGCAGGTTAGCTTTAAATACATGCAGTCTGTTTATATCTAACAGTATTCATTGCCTTTTTTTTAAATCCTCACCTGAAGATATATTTTTACTGATTTTTAGAGAGGAAGGGAGAGAGAAAGAGAGAAGCATCAATGTAAGAAACATCTATCGGTTGGCCCCCCTATAAGCCTCGACAGGGGATTGAACCTGCAACCTAGGCATGTGCCCAGACAGGATTCGAACCTGAACTTTTTTATGTATGGGACGACGTTCCAATCAACTGAGCCACTCAGCCAGGGCATTTTTTTTACAAAGGCAAATAAAGCATCCTGCAACCAAAAGAAAAATTAGGTAGACTGGGCTATCAGTGGCAATTAGGTTTTGAAGAACAAAGGCATTCAGGAAAGGGACTGGCATATGTCACCCAGAATTCAAGATGGGCTTCCTGCATATCTACAACAGCAACAGAATAGAAATGGATAAAATAACTCGCATGAATTGCATTCAGAATATAATTAGGACCTTGGGAAAAACCAGAGTTAATCATTCACACAGCTATCTCCAAAGAAAATGAAAAAGAACAAGGTCTGAAGAGAAACAGGGCATTTGTAGGTTCTGAAGTCGACAAACTGAATTACCCAAATATTCTGGAGTATACCACTTTTTAAAATTAATCTTACTCTATAGCTCTACAGAGTCAACAGTGAAAGGTATGGCAACCAATGAAAAACCAAACAAACAAAACTTAAAACTGAAGGGAATGAAATTCAATTATGCTTATGCAGAAATAGGACTCGCCCTGGTTGGGTAGTTCAGTTAGTTAGGGCGTTGTCTCAATAGACCAAGATTGTGGGTTCAATCCCGAGTCAGGACACATAAAAGAAGCAAGCAATAAATGCATAAAAAGTGGCACAACAAATTGATATATTGATATTTCTCTCCCTATTACCCTTCCCCTCTCTAAAAATCAATAACTTTTTTAGAAAGTAAAAAAACAAAAAGAACTATAGGATTCTTCATTACTATAGCTCACCCCCTGCACAATAAATCAAGTTTAGTGTCTTTGATTTATGTGTAAACCCACCTTCCTGGTAGGCAAACTGACCTGTTGTAGTCACTTATTCTAGTGCTCTAATATATGTCATAAATGATAAGATTAGGGGAAACAAAAGCTAGATGTTTGAGGGTCGAACTGGGCTGACACTCACCACAAACTTTTCACCATTCTGCTCCACATGTTTGTATGTGGGGACCGATATGGGCACTGCTTGCTTTTCTGTGTAATCATAAAATGATTGTCCCAACGAGTCGTCACTGGGATCTAGGTTATCTGCCTCATGAGGAGGTACAGATAACACTGTCAAGATCAATTCCTTCTCGCCTGCTCGGATCAGGTCCACCACCTGCTTGTGTGTTGCCCCCTCAACATTCACGCCGTTCCTAAGGGGAAAAAGGGAAAAAGACAATCCCATAAACCAGAAGGGTCCAAACACTTTGTATCTCCACCCTCCTGCCCCCACTCCAGTGTCACGCAGAATGAACTATAAAATCAAAAGATTAATGTGGTTCCAGACAAGCTGTTTCTATTTTTATAGATCATAATGTGCTTAAGGCTGGGGGTGGGGGAATGGAAACAGGTGAGAGAACCTACCCTTCCTCTATGCCAGAATCCCACACACAGCTTCAGGAAAACAAATGGGAAGGAGGGGGAAGCTGAGGAGAAAACAAAGCTTTTAAAGCTTGAGAGTCCGATATCCTCGTCCTAACTAATCATGTATATGACACAAAGTGGCTTTTAATAATCCTGCCATTTGAACTGTATTTTGTCCGTTTTAAATATCCTAGAAATTCTGTTGAAAGGAATTTTCCACAAAATGCATTCCCTTAATTTGTAAAGATTCAAAAAGTATGGCTTAAGATAATTCTTTTACATTTATATCTGATTTCCCCCCATATCTTCAAATTAGTCAACTTTATTTTCCTTTATGACAAGTTTCATTACCTTGGGACTTAAATGGTTTATATCTTCACATACATTAGTTTTTTAAAAGGCAATGCAATAATCCCTCTAAAGTTAAATTATCTGATCTAACTTCTTTTGTTCTCACAATCATTTCTCTTTATCTCTCTTAGAATTCTATCTACTAATTTTCTGCTCTGTGCTAGCTCACTTAAACCCCTGTGATCTTAGTTCACACTAAAAAATATACATCTAAGGCTATAGAGTAAATCAACCTACTCATTCTCCTTCCTATTTCTCTGTTTAAAATGGCTGAAACCAGGAAAAGTATGAGGTTTGGAAGAACAATAATTTCGTCAAGAAAGATGCTGAGTCTCACAAAACTCACTCAGCAAACCGAACTACCTTCCCAGAATGCTGACCCAGCCTGCTGTCTCAGCAAAAACCACTAGGCAGCTGGCGGGCCCAGAAGTTCCCTCCATGGCTCTCCCAAGAGAGTTCAGAAATACATACCTGGCCTTTAGTCAATTTGATAGAATCTTATCTACCCTTTAAACTTTTTCAGTCCTGTTCCAAACCATTACAATTTTACCTTCCTGAAAATGATGCTAAGTTTAGTAATAAGTGTTCTACAAACTTTTCAATCACTGGCATTGTCTCTGTCAGAATCTGGTATCCGAAACATCCATTTATATAAACAGAACAGACAGAAGATCACCCAGCTAGCCTCCTTCCTTATGTTGGGTTTAACAATCTAGCTAGTAAAATTCAGCACTCTTGACATTGCACAACCTAAATAACTTACACACACACACACACACACACACACACAAACACACACACCAGTAATTTTACAACTAGCTAGCTCTCCAAGAAAATAAAGAGTCCCTTCCTCTGATGGAAATTTGGACTTTTAAAATTCAGGTCAGATCAGACTAATGACCAGGTAAAAATGGTCACCTCTGATCAGAGAGCGGGATAAAATAAAAAGAAAACGGGCTTTGGAGCTAGATCTACAAATCCCAACTCTGCCTTTTTTATGATCAGAATTGGTCTTGATCAAGTTACTTAACCGTTTTTAGTGTTGCTTGCCGCATCTGTAAAATGGGGACAATAATAAGTCCTTAACAGCGTTGCTGTGAGAATTAACGCTTAATAAAATGTAACTTGCCTGAACACTTATATCAGAAGGTATAAAAAGGAAAGAAGTACTATGTACCTGTTGGTTATGAAGAGATTTTGGTTAAAGAAGAAACGGAAACCTAAATAAAGTTAGGGATTGGCAAAAGATTTCATCTAAACCTTTGGCCTTAGTAGAAGTTCTGAGAAAATGTTTTGCTGGTAGAATAAAATTGAAAAAACAAAAGTTGGAAATCAATATAGAGAAGTTCATCTATCCCTAGGAATCTTATCTAGTTCACAATACCCTTGTTAGTTAAAAAAAAAAAAAAGTGGGGAACACTAATACTTTGAGATGGAACAAACTACCATGGATACTAAAACAAGACTTTTATATTAATGCAATTTTATGAGCTGCATATTTGTGGGGGGGAAAAGTTTAAGAATTGATGCTCAAATCTTACTTTTCAGCTCCTTAATTTTTTCTGTTAAAGGATTTTTAATTTGTGGTACTCTGTTGATAGGCTTGGGGGTCAGTGAACACCTACAAAATTTGTATGTAAAATTGTATTTGTGTGCATATACAATATTTTTTCCCTGGGGAGGGCCCCACAGCTTTCATCAGCTTCAAAAAGGAGAATGTAATCTCCAGAAACGTTGAAAACTATTGCTTCCAATGCACCTCCACCCATTCAGTTTTCAAGTTAGAATACACTGCTCCTTGGGTCACTCACAGAAACAAGCCCCCAAAATCATCACAAAAACGTAAGTGAAGCTTACTTCAAGAGCAGCCAAGGGAGCAAGGGAGCTTGCTTAGATTTCACTTCTTAGTAAGACCACGCTTCAAATTGGCTATAATCCCAAAAACCACTTTTAAAAAGGAAAAAAAAAAACCAACAACAACAAAGAAAAGACTACCACTGTCACATTCCTAACACACTTGCTAGTATTTATTTGGTGCAGCTAAAGAAGGAATGCTGTATATTCCATGATTTAATATACAAAGCTGGAAATTCTTTCATTCTTCAGAGAATGAAATGAAGTCAGTAAAAACCCCAGGATGTCTGATTTCATAAAGGGCCCTCCCTCCTCAAGAATTAAGAGGCCTTCAGAGTCATAAAAATGTTTATATGACATCCTCTTTTTCCACAAGAATGCTACTACACCAGGCTCAAACTAGGTGGGGCCCAATGAACAATTCTGAAGGCATAAATGAATGTAAGCTAGAAATTCTGCAGTAAAGGGAATTTTCAGCAACACAGACTTCTGGTTCAAAGCATAGGTTTTGGAGTCAGACTGACTAGTGTACCATTTAACAGATAAGACATTATTCAATCTCACTAATCCTCGATTTCTAATCCATAAAATGGGGTTAATAATACCTAGAGCTATGTTGTGAGAACTAAAATGCAATGAAGCTAGAACATGGTAAACACTTCATAAATAGTAGCTATTCATGTGATAGCATTTGTATCAGTTGTGCAAGCAAGTTGGTAGTATTTTGGCCTCCTAATAATACAAGCCACTAATTTCCCTTGCTTTTCTTCTGTCTTTGCAACATAATCTAGTTGAAATTCATTTGAAAATAAATCATTGAGCTGTCAACCAATGATAATGGGATCATAAGATCATCACCTTCATATGACATCAAAGAACCACTAAATCCTACACCACACAAAAGTAGCTACTGGCCAGTAAGTTCTACCCATCTATGCTTCTTCCACAAAGAAAGGCAATAGCTTAAACATACTACCAAAAATTTTCAACAGATAAGTGATTAAACAAACATAGCAAAATGTTCATTGTAGAATAGGTGGTAGGTATGCAAATATTCATTGTGCAATTCCTTCAAGTTTCCTGTATGTTTGAAATTTTTCATAAAATGTGGGGAGGGAGAGAAAGCTACCAAAAACCTCCAACAATCCAACAAAATTTTATTTCCTTAGGCAACTAGATGATACTCAATTTACTGTGTCTTCAGCACTATAAAGATACACTTGACAATTTTAATAAAATTCTCCTCTTTTTCTCTTTATCCTCACCTGAGGGTATGTTTTTATTGATTTTAGAAAGAGAGGAAGGGAGAGAGGGAGTGAGAAAGAGAGAGCGAGAGGGCGAGAGAGAGAGAGAGAGAGAGAGAGAGAGAGATCAGCTGCCTCCAGCACACCCTGACTGGGGATTGAACCTGCAACCTTTTTTTTTTTTTTTTTTTTTTTTTTTCGGTGTACAGCATGATGCTCCAACCAACCAAGCCACCTGGGCAGGACAACATTCTCTTCATTTTTTACGTAAGACCAAAATTTGGCCCCATTAGAAAAGCTTTCAGCTAGCTAATGGGAGTGGCTTTCAATAAGACTTTTATTCAACTAAAGTTAGCCAGCTGAGGAAATTGCAAAACTAATATAAACACTCCCAGAAACAGGAAAAAGCTCTAAATAGTCAGGATTTGTTTTTGTACAGTGCTTGTACAGGAAACTGTATATAATGAAACTAGACATGGATGGAATATGACAGAGCCGATCATTACATGTACCATAAGAAGGAGCCATGCTAAGTGGTAAGCAAATATTATTTTGACTCCTTGTGACATTCAAGAAATTAATTAAAGGATAATTAGTCCCTCAGAGGCAGCCTATAAAAAATATGACAATGAATTCTTATAACTGCAAATAATTAAGATGTACTTTTCGATTTCGTAGATTAAAACACAATGACTACATATCCATAAGAACAGTTCAAATAAAAAAGAGTGACAAAGCCAAGTTTTGCTAAGGGTGTGGAAGAACTGAAATTCTCCTACATTGCTGATGGGAGCATAAAGCAAAACAACCTAGCAGTTTCTTATAATGCTAAACATACATTTACCATATGACCCAACAATTCCATTCCTAAGTATTTACCCCAGAAAAATGAAAACATGTCCACACAAACAATTGTAGTTGAATGTTCAGTGGAGCTTTAGTCATAATAGTCCAAAACTGAAAACAGTCAAATGTCTATCAAGAGGTGAACGCATAAACAAACTGTGGCATAGTCATGCAATAAAAAGACCAAACTACCAATAGCGACAACAACATGAATGAATCTTAAAACACACGGAGCAAAAGAAGTGAAACAGAAAATAGTCTAATTGACATGGAAAACAGTAGGGAGGTTCCTCAAAAAATTTAA